CTTCACTTCAGCTCTAATTTCTTCACGTTGTTTGGCTAGAGCTTCCTGAAGTATTTGAGTGAACTGATCAGCAGTGATTGTGAATACTTCTCTGATTTGTCCTGTGCTAGACATTGTATCATCAGAAGCGATTGCAGAATAAGTGTCCGAGAATTCATCCTCCGAGGACATTCCTTCTTGCATTCTCTTGTAGTCTCTGCGTCTGATAGCTCCTAATTGGAGTCGAGACATCCTTTGAGCAATTCTTGGATTGACTTTTCCTTTCGGGGAAAAGTCGGGATTTGAGTCACTTGAATGCTGTTTAGACTTTCTTCTATCAGCTACGTTGATGGTGACTTCAGGGAATTCATCATTTTGGGCAGCTGATTTTCTTTTGCGGAAATGTCTCAGCTTAGGCTTTGATAATGCAGAGACTTTTCGTGGGATGATTTCTCGTTTGAAACAGTCACATTCTGATAATGCTGTTTTGACGAGTCGTGCACAGGAACAACGAGAGTTTATCTCTCGAATAACTCTCTTTCGAAAATTATTCACAACCTCAATTTGATAATACGATTCATTGGTATGATTGCCAAAAAATCGTATCGTCTGTTGGTATGATCTCCCAGGTATGACGATATCATTTGGTGAATGCGTCTTCTTCTGGGAGTATAAAACCTTGTTGGCATTCTCAGGACAATTTATTTTTGTCTTTAAGCGATCCAAGGTTATGTCGGGAGTCGCACGTTTAGAACCACCCCCTTGTGGGTATGGAGTCTTAACGGGCTCCGAATGCTGATTTTGCATAAGTCCAGACTTTGGAATCCAAACTTGACGAAGTTTTGGTGATTCTTTGGTCACCATTTCCTTTCTCTTTTCTCGTCTTTGTTGTGAGAGAGCATGGGCATTAGCAGCTTTTGCACGACGTTTTTGTATACGTTCTTTGAGGGTCGAACGAGTCTTTTTGACAATAGTCCATTCATCCGTCGTTGTTTTAGCAGAGATACGAGTGATTGGTTGTTGAGACAACTGAACCACTCGATGTCTCCTCGACTCTAGGTCCGCGTGGTAACGAACCCCGTCGGTTTGTTCCAAGGCTTTAGCCATTTGGCGAGCACGGCGTTGACGTTGTCTCCGACGAGCTCTTTTCGTTAATGCCGGCGGGCTTTGATTCGATGACTCTTTAACTAGATAAGAGTCATTGTGAGTAGAGGTGTTGCGAGTAAAATCCTCAGCAACAATCAGGCGAGAGTCTTCATTTTGTGCCTTCTTTGGCATGCAACTCTTCCTCAATTGTGAGATCCTCTTGTACTTGCGAGATAATGAAGATCTTGAAGAGGATGATGAGAGATATTCCTCAAACTTGGTTTGGTCGAATTCGTATTCGACCATGGATTCAACTGGAATCTTGATCGGCTGCGACACGACGGTCTCGGCAGCGAGACCGTTGGCTCCCACTGTGGTCGCCAGCTTGTTTGCGTCAAAAGTTGGTTTCGTTGTGGAATTCATTATATCTTCGGTCGATTACAATAAATTCAAAAGAAATAGTCTTTTTATAAGACTTCTTTTACACAACAAAAGGAAAATTACAACTCTTGAGAAACAAACGCAGGACCGTTGTTTGGATCGCTGCTTGCGTGGGATCTTTGCCTGTGCCGGGAGCGCTTTGACTCGTGGACCACCAAATCACAGATTCTGATTGAACCGTGAGGGGTTTAATGATTCTTCCTTCGTTTATCGAAGTAAGAATTTGAAGCGAATATCTTATCGATGTAAGATGTTCACTCTTCCAAAGATCAAGTCTGAGCTTAGATCTCTAAGACTCGCTAGAAGCTTCTTGAGGATGTTTGTGAAGAAGGAAGACTCTCTCTCTTGCTCTAATTCACCAAAACTCAAGGCTCTCTGCTCTAATCTCTCTGGAAAATGCTCAGCCCCTGTCAATGATGGCCATAGGGGGGTATTTATAGCCTCCTTAGACGATAACTGAAGAAATAGCTGGTCAATAACTGTCTCTTTAGGCGCGGCAGCTGATGCTGTCGCGGCTAAAGGGCGCGACAGTCGACAATGTCGCGGCCAAAGGGCGCGGCAGTCGACACTGCCGCGGCTAAAGGGGCAGTTACACCCACGTTCATACGTGTTTGACCACGACTTTTAACCACCTTTTTCGTGGTTTAACTGCTTGTCCACGTCAGCACACGTTCTATTTCTGATACGCCGCCACGTAGACTTCACATAATCATCACATAACTACCTCGTAACCGCTGTAGCATCCCCTATAGTAGCCGCGGCACCATGGATTGCCGCGCCCAAGCCGCGGCACTATGAACTGCCGCGTCTTAGCCGCGGCACTATGAGCTGCCGCGCTGTAGCCGCGGCACCATGAGCTGCCGCGCCCACACGCTGTAGTTTGCATTGTTCTGTGAATTCACATTGTTTTGTGTTGATTCACAGATCCTTTTGCTTCCTTTGGGCTTGTATGATCTCCCATGACTTAGATACTGATGTTTTATCACCTTCTCTTTGTCTTGAGTGATATTTAGATGTCTGTAAGCATTTTTGACGTCTACAGATCCTTTTTTGTTTTTTGAAAATTATTATGATCCTTTTTTAATACTTGCAACCAAGTTCGTTTAAGCGTACCTCCAGGTCCACCTTATCATATTAACTATAATAATCTTATTTTTTTTTTTTAGGAAAATGATAAAGGCACACCCTCAACCACAACTCTAACCACACCCTCTCTCTCATTTGCTACAGTGCACCGGGCTCTACATGAGATTTTAAAATTTAAAATCCCATGTAGGGCCCGGTGCACTGTAGCAAATGAGAGAGGGGGTGTGGTTAGAGGTGTGCCTCTAGTGCCACCCTATTTTTCATACCACGTATATTCAACCCCATAAATTTATCTTCATTTATTAGTTACACCAGTCATTTTCCAGTCACATAACTGTTTGGGTCAAAAGTTGGTTTCGTTGTGGAATTCATTATATCTTCGGTCGATTACAATAAATTCAAAAGAAATAGTCTTTTTATAAGACTTCTTTTACACAACAAAAGGAAAATTACAACTCTTGAGAAACAAACGCAGGACCGTTGTTTGGATCGCTGCTTGCGTGGGATCTTTGCCTGTGCCGGGAGCGCTTTGACTCGTGGACCACCAAATCACAGATTCTGATTGAACCGTGAGGGGTTTAATGATTCTTCCTTCGTTTATCGAAGTAAGAATTTGAAGCGAATATCTTATCGATGTAAGATGTTCACTCTTCCAAAGATCAAGTCTGAGCTTAGATCTCTAGGACTCGCTAGAAGCTTCTTGAGGATGTTTGTGAAGAAGGAAGACTCTCTCTCTTGCTCTAATTCACCAAAACTCAAGGCTCTCTGCTCTAATCTCTCTAGAAAATGCTCCGCCCTTCTAAATGATGGCCATAGGGGGGTATTTATAGCCTCCTTAGACGATAACTGAAGAAATAGCTGGTCAATAACTGTCTCTTTAGGCGCGGCAGCTGATGCTGTCGCGGCTAAAGGGCGCGACAGTCGACACTGTCGCGGCCAAAGAGCGCGGCAGTCGACACTGCCGCGGCTAAAGGGGCAGTTACACCCACGTTCATACGTGTTTGAAACTGTTCTCCCACGACCTTTAACCACTTTTTTCGTGGTTTAACTGCCTGTCCACGTCAGCACACGTTCTATCTCTGATACGCCGCCACGTGGACTTCAAAAATCATCAGATAACTCCCTTATAACTGCCACAACATCCTTCTTTAACTGCCGCGGCACCATAGGTTGCAGCGGTTAAGCCGCGACACCATAGGCTGCCGCGCCTTAGCCGCGGCACCTTGGTCTGCCGCGCCTTAGCCGCGGCACCATGTCCTGCCGCGCCTTAGCCGCGGCACCATGTCCTGCCGCGCCGCCATATGTTGCTTGATGACGTGTATATTGTTCTTCTATATCGTCTTGAGTGGTGTTTGAATGTCTGTAAGCATTAGAGGTTCGTCTGAAGTACGAACGCGAGGTTCGTCTGAAGTACGAACGCGAGGTTCGTCTGAAGTTCGAACGCGAGGTTCGTCTGAAGTATGAACGCGAGGTTCATTAAAATTGAGCTTGACGCTCACCTGAGTTGAACGCGAGGTTCACCTTAGAACGAACGCGAGGTTCGTTAAAATTGAACGAACGCGAGGTTCGTTTGAGGTAACCACCTCCTTAATTGTCGCTATGAACCCTTAGGGTTTTAAATTGAAACCGCCGCCGACAAACCCAAAACAAACCTTTGATTTTTATTTTCAAAACAGATCCAGAATTGGAAAAAATTGAAGAAAAAATCAAAGAAAAATTTTTCAGTTACTGTTCATCCGGGAAAAAACTTTACTGTTCATCCGAACAAAAATTTTTGTTACTGTTCACCGAACATTACTGTTCATCCGAACCCAAAAAATGAATCTTTAACCAGAGATTTAAGATCAAAAACCCAATAAAACTTAAATCCCTAAGAATTAATCAAGGTGGCTCTGATACCACTTGTTAGATCTACATCATAAAACTTGAGATCTAAAACCATATAGCCATGATTAATTCAAAGAGATTAACAAGGATCTAAAAAAGCGGAAGCTTATACCTGAATGCATTGCTTGATCTTGATTTTGGGTTTTGGATCTTCTAACCTTAGGGTTTTCTCCTTAGCCGAATTTCTCTCTTAGATGGGGGTGAAGAGAATTAGAGAATGTAACCCTAGGTTAGGGACCATAACCCCTTATTTATAGATGTTGTACTTTTGTAATTTAGCCCCTCAATAAATCACAATTACAACCTGGTATCTGCACATATAACCCCATGACTTATTTAAATACCAAATTAACCCAACTTAATTGATCACTTTAGTGGGTTATCCTGAAAGATAGCAATACACATTGATTAATCATATGTGCCCACAAATAGATTTATTAGATTAAATCCAACAGGAGAAAGAGATTGTTATTATTGTTTTGAAAAAAATGGTAATCTGACAATTTCTACATATATCGTACCTTCTCTGATCTGAGCACATAAGGACCTTGTAACCTTCGCCAGAGTCGAAAATTCTGAAAGAAATAGCTGTATATTCCTTTAAATCGCTCGAAGCCAACACGAATAGCCCGAAAGGGCCAATCTTTCCCTGAACCGAAGAGCCTTTGTCACGACAAAGCATTGCCGGGTCTAAAATCCAATTGGCATCGAAAGGCTCCGCCGTCTTCAGGTTTGGCAACTCAAATTCTGCTTCAACGTCTACCTGTAATTAATTTCTCACATTGTCAACGAAGGCGTAACAAGATAACACGCTCATAAAATTGACTTAACACTGACCTCGGAGGCTTTTAGTCCTTTGACCTCAACTAGATCCCCCGTCTTGAGCTCAACTCCACGCAAATCTGTTTGTTTTCCTCTGAGTGATTCAAGCTCTTGAACAGGCCACTGCACAAGCTGTTTCATGTTGGTATCTAAAGTAACAACCCTCGGGACAGTCTGCCTCGCATACAATGAAAATTATGAAAAATGAGTAACACAGTCCTTCACTATATTTAGAAATATATGACTATCCATACCCACATCATGGAGATATATCGATCAATGCGCATTTTAATGTATAACTCAAGTAGGATATTAATTTAGTAAACTTTTACCAACATGGGGTTTGCTTATTAATTATGCAGAAGACAACATTTGGGGGTCAATTCCCGAGAGCAAGCATATATGGTTGCGTACCTGGATACCGGACCACCCTTTTGCTACATCGTCAGCTGCGCTATCGGATTCATTCAGCCACCCCCACAAGATCCTTCGCTGCTTCTTGTCGTCGAAGAACGTCTTCGACGCGTAAAACTTCCCGTAGTCGTACCTCCGCCACATTCTGTAGTCGTCGTCCTCCGTGTCATCGGGCACGAACGTATCTCTCTCCTCGTCATATGCTCCCAGCATGTAGTGATCAGACTGATCAGCCTCTCCCAAACTCATCTTCAGCACGTATTTCTCGCCCTCTCCCTTCAAGTAATAAAAGTCGGGACATTCCCACGTACCCGACCCGTTCGCGGCGAACAACGGGTTGTCAGTCCGAGCCCAGCGTACAAAATCTTTGCTCCTATATAGCAATGCCTGCCCCTTTAGCCCAACCTCAGCCCCGACTGCTACTCTCCAGAGCCCATCGTGTCCGAGCCAGCCAGTGGTCGGGTCGCGAAACTGGTTTGGATCGAGCCCGTCGACCGGTTCCATAACCGGGTTATAACCAGGTTTGATCCACTCACGAAGGAGCGGGTCGGATAAGTTTTTCGGGTACGCAAAGTTTTGGACCTGCCTCTTCTCCGCGTCACCGCCGGGGATCGTGGCGGACCCGCTCCAGCACCCGTTAACATCGAACGGGTCGGTAGGGGAGAGCGCTGGTTCGAGTCCCGTCCAATGGACGAGGTCAGTAGAGACCGAGTGACCCCATGTTATGTTTCCCCATATTGCAGCATACGGGTTGTATTGGTAGAATAAGTGGTAGATGCCGTTGTAGTACACTGGCCCGTTTGGATCTGACACAAGTAGATTCAAGCGAAACAGAGCTCAATATGTCTGAAGATAAAATTTGCCATCTGCATTAAAAACTTTGTGGTAATAGTTTTTGTTGTGATATTGTACTGATTGTAGTTCCGCTTCTTCTTTTTTTCCCACAAGGCTAGCTGCTACTATAAACATCTTAAGATTCTTAACTTCAAAAGGTTTTGGCCACACTTTAGGAAAGATGAAATGATGATTTTATGACATTTCAATATCATATGTACTTAAAGATTATTTATTTTTCTTTATGGTATCCCATCCTTTCTCTCAAAAAAAAGATTATTTATTTTACCATTTCTCCTGTATTTCCCGTCATCCAAACAATTTTTTGAAGGAAAGATTCCTCAAGGACCCAAAATATGGGACCAATAGAGAGGACAAGTGAGGTGTCCCCCCTCCTATTAGATAATGAGTTGGTCATCATTAATGATGACCAACTCATTATCCAATAGGAGGGGGAAACGATCAGCTTCGGTAAAACCTTGATATCTCCAAACCCAACCGATAGTAACTAATCTCCACCATTAAGAATTAAGACCAACGAGTCCTCCAAATTTCACACCGATCGGACAATAGATGAGTGTCCGATCGTCACACCAATCACATCTGCGTGAAAGAGACCTTTTTTCATCTTTCCTCTCAAACGAATTTATATCTTTACTCTCTAATTTTTGGCACACTGATTATTCACACTAATCAGAAGCTAATTAGTCAAAGTAGCCATCAAACTACATAGAAAACCGAGACACATTTTAATGAGTATTTTGGTTATCCAACCCAAACCAAAATACCATTTGGTTTCCTCCACTATGAGGAAAACCAACATGCCTTGGTCTCTAAATCATTATTTTGCTGGTATTCACCCATAAGAAAAACTTAATAATATGTGGATATGATATAGTTTATCATTAGAAAATGAACCTTCTATTTCGAATTTATACTTACAATCGCCCTTTTCGATATTAAAACGTTTTATGAAATGTCATATTTGACATTGCTCATATAATTCACGTGTCAGTACAAATTAGGAAGAATATGAGACATCTACTCGGCTCAAAGGGTTCTTCCTTCTCCCTTGGATTACCAGCTGGACCATTCCCACTGACGCTAGGGGCCCCACATGTGTTGGTCATTGTCTAGGGAACCGCTTTCCCTGTTTAATGAATTGGAATTGAATGACAAATTCTACATATTCAAAAAAGAAAAATTCCTCAAGGATCCAAAATATGGGACCAATAAATGGGACAAGTGAGGCGTCCCCCTCCTATTAGATAATGAGTTGGTCATCATTAATGATGACCAACTCATTATCCAATAGGAGGGGGACGCCTCACTTGTCCCATTTATTGGTCCCATATTTTGGATCCTTGAGGAATTTTTCTTTTTTGAATATGTAGAATTTGTCATTCAATTCCAATTCATTAAACAGGGAAAGCGGTTCCCTAGACAATGACCAACACATGTGGGGCCCCTAGCGTCAGTGGGAATGGTCCAGCTGGTAATCCAAGGGAGAAGGAAGAACCCTTTGAGCCGAGTAGATGTCTCATATTCTTCCTAATTTGTACTGACACGTGAATTATATGAGCAATGTCAAATATGACATTTCATAAAACGTTTTAATATCGAAAAGGGCGATTGTAAGTATAAATTCGAAATAGAAGGTTCATTTTCTAATGATAAACTATATCATATCCACATATTATTAAGTTTTTCTTATGGGTGAATACCAGCAAAATAATGATTTAGAGACCAAGGCATGTTGGTTTTCCTCATAGTGGAGGAAACCAAATGGTATTTTGGTTTGGGTTGGATAACCAAAATACTCATTAAAATGTGTCTCGGTTTTCTATGTAGTTTGATGGCTACTTTGACTAATTAGCTTCTGATTAGTGTGAATAATCAGTGTGCCAAAAATTAGAGAGTAAAGATATAAATTCGTTTGAGAGGAAAGATGAAAAAAGGTCTCTTTCACGCAGATGTGATTGGTGTGACGATCGGACACTCATCTATTGTCCGATCGGTGTGAAATTTGGAGGACTCGTTGGTCTTAATTCTTAATGGTGGAGATTAGTTACTATCGGTTGGGTTTGGAGATATCAAGGTTTTACCGAAGCTGATCGTTCTAGGGGTGCAAAGAACGTTTTCTTCTGCACTGTTCTGATCGTTTGGATAATCAGAGAGTGAATTCTTCTCTGACTGATCTGAAACTTTGAAGATATGTTTTAAACTTGTGGTTCTAGGATTTGAACAGTGAAGATTTGATTTGGTTACCGGAATCCTTGTGAACCGAGAGTTTTTCGTACAGCCTAAAATTTGGTTTTCTTGTTGTGGTCTCTTGCTGGAATTCGTTTGATTTGAGATTGGTTGTTGAACCTGGAATCTCTGTATTGTGTCTCTCGTTTGCGGAGAACGTAGAGTGGATGTTGTAATTAACCCAAAGTTTATTCATTATAGTGGATTTTTTGGCGGACTACGGTCCCGTGGTCTTTACTCCTCACGCTCGAGGGGGTTTTCCACGTTAAAAATCGATTGTCTCATTATTTCTGAATTGTTTGCTGCAGCGATTGTTATTTTGTTTTCTTCACAGGTTCTCGCAAGTAAGGGATTTGTTGTCTTGATCCCATCAAGGCAAACAGCTTTTAGAAATAATATTCTAGGTCTTTTCCCCCCTTTAACATAATTGAAGATGAAAAGGATAACTATGAAGATTCATGTTAACACAAGTGAACCAAAAGAATATGGTTCCTACACTAAGGTCTTTTTCAAGTGGACAAGTTTGAACTCAGAAAGCTGGAAAACATGATCCCTAACCGATAATATACATACATACATAACAAGAGATCATAAACATACCATTTATCCAATTGCGAAGAGGTTGGAAATGGTACGCAGTCCTGTACTGGGCGCTAACGATAGAATTCGTATCTGCACGTTCTGAATTTAGCAAACTCCGACGTGCAGCTTCAACGCAACTCCTCCTATCAACCGCAGAAGGCAGAAAGAAGAAGGATACAAGTATCCAAACCAAACCAGGTACCAGTGAACTAGCCATCTTGAAGAAGAGAAACAGAGGTCGATCAACTAGCTCACACAGCAGCAATTAAAGACTGGGGGAATCTACGTTTACACATGCTCACGCAATGAATATGACATGCATAATACTAAATAAACAATTAAATAAAGTTTCCATTAACGGGAGACTTCTTCACATGCATGGAATCTCTCATCATTTTCCTTAGTGGACTTTTAAAAGAAGTAGGACTGAGAACGGTAGCTTGTCTACTTCTGTGTACATGCAACTGGACTAAACCCTCGGTCGTGTCATTTTACACGTAGACCACTGTTTTATCCCGTCCAACTTGTTCTTTGTTCTTAGTCAATGATTCATGTTGAAGCTAATTAATTTTCAAGCCACAGATTATTACCTATGAAATTATCTCGCTTCCTCCACATTTACCTGCCGCGAACCGTGAATACTTGAGGGACTTCCAAGCAAACAGAAAGGAGAAGTTATATTGGGATCGTACTGTCGTGAATCATGATCACTTTGTTGGATTTTTTGACCAAAACTGTTTTCCAAAAACGAGTTTTCAAACTATATATTTATTAACTACTGGTATTTTTTGGAAATCATTAGTAGCGTAGTGGAAAGTAAAAGTTTTGGTGTTTCAAAAGGTCATGTAAGCCGAGAATTGTTTTTGATTTAAATAAATAAATCAATTAATCATTCATGAGTACTAGTGGGTCGTGGGCCAATGGGCCGGGGATGAGGCTAATCAGGCTGAGGCGCTAAGTGACGCTTTGTTAGGGACACTTTGCGCTTCGCACGAAGGCATCGGGGCTAGTTGGCTGCCACTTTGATCGCCACTCAGGGCGCTTCGCAGGTTGTTTCACAGCATGAGAACGAGCCTCATGTTTGCAGCGTGGGGCGAGCTTTGCGTTCGCAAGAGGGAACGAGACCCTCGCGTTCGCGAAAGGGAACGCGGCCCTCGCATTCGCAAGGCGTGACCATCGTGTTCGTGTGAGGGTACGAGAAATGCGACCCTCGTGTTCAGGCATTACTGCATACAGCAATTAAGTCATTTGTTGTTACAATCATAATTGTTATTATGATTTGTAATAGTCAATTTGACTGCGGATGACCCTCGAGCTGACCTTAGAGGCAAATAAATAGTGCTCATTGGGGTAGCTCTTGGTACATACGAAAAAACACACTGAAGTGTTCGAGCTGTACGTTGTGCTGCTGCTGCAGAGTTTGAAAGCGTGCAAGCTTTAGACTGTGCCCGAAGGAACTTGGCCCTGAATCGAAAAGTTTTTACAGATCGAAAGATCTTTGCATGAACCGAAAGGTTTTTACAGATCGATAGATCTTCCCCTGAACCGAAAGGTTTTGAACCGAAATGTTTTAATAGATCGAGGAGATCGTTGCCTTGACCGAAAGGTCTTCTAGATCAATGAGATCTTGACAATACTTAATTGGTTGGTGCACACCATTGTACTGTACTGCTGTTCCTGGAAACACTTTGGTCTTGAGATCCTTGCACCGGAATAGGCCAAATATTGCTTTAAGCACAGTGTTTTACAAACGCACATCAGCTAACTTGAAAAAGTTTTAAAATACAACACTACAGTTGCTTTCATTTATATCTGTTTCCTTGTAGATTTACCCGGCCACAGGCGCTAACACACTTTACGCCAACAGTAGGTGGGGTTGGCATATTGGCTGATCATATCGGCAAAGTGCCTGCACCGACTTAGGTATCTTGTATCCCAGCTGGTAGGGCTGTGGATAGGTAAGTGCCTGGACCTAGGCTTTGAGCGTAGCAGTCAAGTCTTCGAAAAACCAAAGTTTCATAAAATGTATTTTTTCTTCTCCACTTATTCTCATTTTTTAATTTGGTAGATATGATTCCGTGGACACGTATATAGTTCTTGGCATATTCACTAGTGGGGGATAGACCTACCCTATCCCTGGCCTACCCCCAAGCCTTAATTGCTTAGAACTGAGTATATATCTTGAGGAGGGGGAAATTAAAAAGGGAAAATACTAACTCATCGCAAACCTCGACATGCTGTTATGTCTGTGACACCCCTGGCAGCTGGGCACAAACATGTTATTTCTAATTCACGTGCAAAATTATTTTATATATATGCAGACAGTTTCATATTACTAGCTAGGTGGTCATGCGATAACGATATATGGGCTTTAATTTCCAAACGGTTAGAGTACTATATATATATCATCCACTTCCTCACCTGGGCTTTGTTGGGTCGAAACCAGTCAAATACCCAATATTGACACGATCGATTCTGAAATACTAATTATGATCACAACCAAGTCAATACATAATCCCATAAAGAGTTATAAATGGTTCAGTAGTGATGTTTTTTGTTTTTTATCCTTTAGAACTCCGTTCCATTGTGAATGCTCTGCTTTTGGTTTTTGTTAGAACTTATTATGATCTTCCCCTTGTTGGAGATCCATGGTTATGTACAGAGGGGTGTTGTTTTTCATTCTTTGTAGCTTCTGATATGGACTATAATACACACTCTTGGTTGGGGGTGTGTATTTTTTATATAACAACCATTTTTGATTAATTTAGCTGGCTGGATTTGGTAGTCCATCCTTTTTCTCATAAAAAAAATACATAATCCCATAAATATCTCGGCTGAATCTTAACACTTGATAAATTGGTGATAAATGGGATCTATACCAGTCTGTACATCAAAAGGTTTGCCATTAACTTGTGGAGGAGAAGTAATTTTCCAAGCTTCATATGCGCACATACATATTCTGCACCCTCCATTGCTGTAAAAGTCTATTAATTTACCGGTGAGATGTCCTCTCAAATGATCTCATATTTTGGGTCTCTGTAGCAACGCTCACAGGAATATATAGCCTTACTGCCACCCACAAAGAGTAACTAACATACTATGATGTACAAAAGTTCTCCAAACTTGGTAGCCGCGAGTACCATCCTAAAAATTTTCAAAGCCCAAACCCAATCGACACATTATGTTTAACCCACCCCCTGAAATTAGGAAACTAATTACTCACATTCACCAAATCCCAACGCACACTAATTATCATACACCCTACATTTCCAATAATAGAACGTTACATATTCTCCCCACAATTAATACCCATTAACAATCACCAATTATGAACCCCCATTCAAATTCTTTATATACCCCCTCACCCTCTTCACTCATAACCCCATCGACCCAGAATTAATCAAATAATGGCCTCCTTCACCAAATTTGTTGCTATGGTGCTTTTAGCTTCAGTGATGCTCTCTGGGCCTGCTGTGGCCCATCATCACAGGAGGCCTCCAAGTCCGGCCCAAGCTCCAGCCCATGCACCGGCCCCGGCTTACAACGAGATTATTTACGGTCCTGCCCCTGCGCCGACCAGTGTTTCTGCTGTTGTTTCCTCTTCCGTCGGTGCTGGATTAGCGGTAGTTTTCGGTGGACTTGCTACCGTCGTGATGATGGTTTAGACTTGATTAATTTTAATGGTTTTGTTATGGGATTTTGGAGGGTGATGGAGATTGATATTGTGGTTAATTATGGGTTTATTGGTGTTAATGGATGTTTCGGGTACCTAGTATATATTTGAATAAAATCACGTTTCTCATGAAAATTTGTTCTCTGTTATTATTATCATTATTATTCAGAATTTATCTTGTGGAGGCTAGCTTTGTACTGATAGTGGCATTTTCTATTAGCCACGAAAGATTGATGAGAGAGGGAGAGATGAGTATTTTTGGAAAACAACGAGTGACACTTTCAATGGCTTGAGAAATTTGTATCAACGAGAATTTTATTTAAAGAATTCATGTATTGAGAACATGTGATAATATTTATTTTGTTTAAAGAATTCATTTATTGAAAATATGTGATAATATTTAAATATTAAATACACAACAACAATGGTTTAAAAAAAAAAGGCTTTAATCTTAAATTTTTAGAATCACCTACACGAATCATATTTTTTTCACTCAGCTCCAGTTTGACCCATCTCTCAAACTATTGTAATATTATTTGATAATATTTAAATATTAAATACACAACAACAACGGTTAAAAAAAGCCTTTAATCTTAAATTTTTAGAATCACCTACATGAACATGTTTTCTCATTCAGCTCTAGTTTGAACCATCTCTCAAAATTGTAATATTATTTGATAACTGGTAGTGTTAGCATATTAATAAGCACATGAAACAAATTTGCACGACAATTGTGAGCGTTTCATCAAATTTATTTAGATGTGATTATTGGCGATATAAATATGAATTTAATTTTTAATACTTCCCGCTAAAACGCTCACGGGTGTTTGGTCTAGTGGTATGATTCTCGCTTCGGGTGCGAGAGGTCGCGAGTTCGATTCTCGCAACACCCCTATTTTCTTTCTTTTCCCCCCCTTCAAATTGACTTCTTCAAATTTACCACCCTATATGGCTATATCCGGCAAGCATTACAAGAATTCATGATGCGTCATTATGATACATCATATCATACATATAAACTTTAAAAAGTTTACACACATGAAAGTGGTCCGGACTTTTGCAATTAGACAGCGGCTTTGCGGACGCCAAGAGTCTATACTTATTATTGTATTAATACTAATCATATGCTTGGATTAGTTGCAAAGTTTGCTGTGGATAGGTAAGTGCCTGGACCTAGGCTTTGAGCGTAGCAGTCAAGTCTTCGAAAAACCAAAGTTTCATAAAATGTATTTTTTCTTCTCCACTTATTCTCATTTTTTAATTTGGTAGATATGATTCCGTGGACACGTATATAGTTCTTGGCATATTCACTAGTGGGGGATAGACCTACCCTATCCCTGGCCTACCCCCAAGCCTTAATTGCTTAGAACTGAGTATATATCTTGAGGAGGGGGAAATTAAAAAGGGAAAATACTAACTCATCGCAAACCTCGACATGCTGTTATGTCTGTGACACCCCTGGCAGCTGGGCACAAACATGTTATTTCTAATTCACGTGCAAAATTATTTTATATATATGCAGACAGTTTCATATTACTAGCTAGGTGGTCATGCGATAACGATATATGGGCTTTAATTTCCAAACGGTTAGAGTACTATATATATATCATCCACTTCCTCACCTGGGCTTTGTTGGGTCGAAACCAGTCAAATACCCAATATTGACACGATCGATTCTGAAATACTAATTATGATCACAACCAAGTCAATACATAATCCCATAAAGAGTTATAAATGGTTCAGTAGTGATGTTTTTTGTTTTTTATCCTTTAGAACTCCGTTCCATTGTGAATGCTCTGCTTTTGGTTTTTGTTAGAACTTATTATGATCTTCCCCTTGTTGGAGATCCATGGTTATGTACAGAGGGGTGTTGTTTTTCATTCTTTGTAGCTTCTGATATGGACTATAATACACACTCTTGGTTGGGGGTGTGTATTTTTTATATAACAACCATTTTTGATTAATTTAGCTGGCTGGATTTGGTAGTCCATCCTTTTTCTCATAAAAAAAATACATAATCCCATAAATATCTCGGCTGAATCTTAACACTTGATAAATTGGTGATAAATGGGATCTATACCAGTCTGTACATCAAAAGGTTTGCCATTAACTTGTGGAGGAGAAGTAATTTTCCAAGCTTCATATGCGCACATACATATTCTGCACCCTCCATTGCTGTAAAAGTCTATTAATTTACCGGTGAGATGTCCTCTCAAATGATCTCATATTTTGGGTCTCTGTAGCAACGCTCACAGGAATATATAGCCTTACTGCCACCCACAAAGAGTAACTAACATACTATGATGTACAAAAGTTCTCCAAACTTGGTAGCCGCGAGTACCATCCTAAAAATTTTCAAAGCCCAAACCCAATCGACACATTATGTTTAACCCACCCCCTGAAATTAGGAAACTAATTACTCACATTCACCAAATCCCAACGCACACTAATTATCATACACCCTACATTTCCAATAATAGAACGTTACATATTCTCCCCACAATTAATACCCATTAACAATCACCAATTATGAACCCCCATTCAAATTCTTTATATACCCCCTCACCCTCTTCACTCATAACCCCATCGACCCAGAATTAATCAAATAATGGCCTCCTTCACCAAATTTGTTGCTATGGTGCTTTTAGCTTCAGTGATGCTCTCTGGGCCTGCTGTGGCCCATCATCACAGGAGGCCTCCAAGTCCGGCCCAAGCTCCAGCCCATGCACCGGCCCCGGCTTACAACGAGATTATTTACGGTCCTGCCCCTGCGCCGACCAGTGTTTCTGCTGTTGTTTCCTCTTCCGTCGGTGCTGGATTAGCGGTAGTTTTCGGTGGACTTGCTACCGTCGTGATGATGGTTTAGACTTGATTAATTTTAATGGTTTTGTTATGGGATTTTGGAGGGTGATGGAGATTGATATTGTGGTTAATTATGGGTTTATTGGTGTTAATGGATGTTTCGGGTACCTAGTATATATTTGAATAAAATCACGTTTCTCATGAAAATTTGTTCTCTGTTATTATTATCATTATTATTCAGAATTTATCTTGTGGAGGCTAGCTTTGTACTGATAGTGGCATTTTCTATTAGCCACGAAAGATTGATGAGAGAGGGAGAGATGAGTATTTTTGGAAAACAACGAGTGACACTTTCAATGGCTTGAGAAATTTGTATCAACGAGAATTTTATTTAAAGAATTCATGTATTGAGAACATGTGATAATATTTATTTTGTTTAAAGAATTCATTTATTGAAAATATGTGATAATATTTAAATATTAAATACACAACAACAATGGTTTAAAAAAAAAAGGCTTTAATCTTAAATTTTTAGAATCACCTACACGAATCATATTTTTTTCACTCAGCTCCAGTTTGACCCATCTCTCAAACTATTGTAATATTATTTGATAATATTTAAATATTAAATACACAACAACAACGGTTAAAAAAAGCCTTTAATCTTAAATTTTTAGAATCACCTACATGAACATGTTTTCTCATTCAGCTCTAGTTTGAACCATCTCTCAAAATTGTAATATTATTTGATAACTGGTAGTGTTAGCATATTAATAAGCACATGAAACAAATTTGCACGACAATTGTGAGCGTTTCATCAAATTTATTTAGATGTGATTATTGGCGATATAAATATGAATTTAATTTTTAATACTTCCCGCTAAAACGCTCACGGGTGTTTGGTCTAGTGGTATGATTCTCGCTTCGGGTGCGAGAGGTCGCGAGTTCGATTCTCGCAACACCCCTATTTTCTTTCTTTTCCCCCCCTTCAAATTGACTTCTTCAAATTTACCACCCTATATGGCTATATCCGGCAAGCATTACAAGAATTCATGATGCGTCATTATGATACATCATATCATACATATAAACTTTAAAAAGTTTACACACATGAAAGTGGTCCGGACTTTTGCAATTAGACAGCGGCTTTGCGGACGCCAAGAGTCTATACTTATTATTGTATTAATACTAATCATATGCTTGGATTAGTTGCAAAGTTTTCCCTTTCGCCTCGTTTGGTACGCGGGAATGAGGAGGAATGGAATGCAATTCCCACTTCCCATTCCTTCATACCAAACACACCTACGCCTCGTTTGGTACGCGGGAATGAGGAGGAATGGAATGCAATTCCCACTTCCCATTCCCTCATACCAAACACACCTATATTTTAGATGTTGGAATGACCATTCCCTAGGAATGATCATTCCCACTATTTGTGGGAATGAGCATTCCAAGTGAAAAGATAAGGAATGGTCATTCCCATTCAAGTGAGAATCA